ATGATGCCCTGCTTCTCACCTAAAAACATGGCTTCCCCCACTAAAGGATGCCTTCTTCTTCCCATCATGCCTCCTTTCCTGCCAAGAAGGAAGCCCCTCCTTGTGATGTCACAAGCTCCCCCAATCCCTAGCCACTACATCACTCATTCCCACCCCAGCTCCTATAAGCCCCAGCCCAGTCCTATAAGAATCACTCCCTGTCCCGGCCATATTGCTCTCTCTCCTTTGATTGCAAACAGCTCAGCCGATTGTCCCTGCAATAAAGGCTTGTAGTGGTAAAATAAAAAAATTCAGGGCCTCTGGCTTACTGGGCACAGACTCTACCACTGAGCCACACCCATAGGCCTTGCCCTGACTTTATGAGACTTCTGCTCTGCATATCAGCTTCTAGAAGGTTCATGATGAAAATGCTAATGATCAGGCTGGGTGTGGTGGCACACACCTATGATACCAGCTACTCATACTCAGGAGGCTGAGGCAGGAGGATTTCAATTTAGTGACTGTCTCAAAAATTAAAACCAAAAGGTCTGGAGATATAACTCAGTGGTAGAGCACCCAAGTTTAATCCCCAGTACCACATACACACAAACATGCACATACATGTACATACACACACAGAGACTTAGTCTGGAAAATGAGAAGATAACACCAGCCAATTCTAGATGTTGAGAGGAGTCAATTGCCTGTTGCAGATGTGAGTAGTGACTGGTTCTGGAGAGAATCATCATGGGGTGCCAGATCCACTGTACAAGAATTCACTGGAGAAAAAGAACTGTCCCAAAGTATTTCCTCGTGGATACTGATTCATTTTCAAACGCCTTTGTAGCCGGTAGACCTGGCAGGAACCGCGCCAGACAAGAGGTCAAAGTCAGCACGGGCTGCACTGAGCAGGACGAGGCCACCATCTCCACTGCCCTCACCGAGGTCCCCGGGAGTGCACAGCTGCGGCGACAGAGTCTGGCTGTGAAGAAGCAGCAGGTGCCACTCTGCAGAGACGACTGCGCCAGGAGAAACAGCAACGGCCTGTGGGGCCCAGTCCTGGCCCACTGGAGTTTGACATTTGAAAGATAAGGTCTTTCTCTACAATTAAGGCATTTTCACAATGTGCGGTCAGGATGTTCCTGATTAACATTTGTTAACATTTGTTCCTTTTCAAGGGCTCCACGTGTTAAACTTGTTTTTTGATGGGAGCTAGGCAAAGATCTGATGTTATCTGTAGGAGTTGAGTCAGGTGCTTCCTGTTAAAGAGCTGATGTTCCCTGTAGGAGTCAGGTGCTTCCTGTTGATGTGAGCCTTTAAAAGGAGCTGTTTCTGTGACCTAAATCAGACTTCTCTTGGTCTCCACTCCGGCCTGAGTGTTCTTTCCTTTCTCATCCTCACTCCCCGACTCAGGCGTGTTCGTGTTGTGACGGCTGGGCCGCCATAACGGCCGCCGAGAAGACTCTTCCAGGCTAAGGAAAACGTAGGTCTCGTGACCGATCCCGACACCGAATTCCAGGTCAGAATCCCAGCTAAGAGAAAACAAAGCCCTCCGAATGAGGTGAGAGCGTGTGGATGACGTCCCCTGGACTGGTAACTGCCCCCAGACGGACGGGCTGACACAGCCGGGTAGACAGCTGTACTTCCTGAAACTTTCCTCAGACAGCGAGTGTCACACCCCCATGCATGCATGTGCTCGTGGACAGATGTGAACAAAGAGGGCAAGATGAAAGCAAATGGAGAAAAATGGTAGTTATTGGTGAAAAGGAATCTGGGAGTCTATTAACTATTCTGTAGCTCTAAATCTTTTCAAAATAAAACAATGCACAAAAGGGAAAGACTGAAAGCTGGGCATGGTGATGTGCACCTGTAATCCGAGTACTTAGGAGGCTGAGGCAGGAGGGTCGCTATGAGTCTGAGGCCACCCTGGGCTACATAGCGAGTTCAAGGCCAACCTGAACAATCCTATCTCAAAAAAAACAAAGTTACTGAATTAACGTAAATGTGGGTCCAACCTGGCACTTAGGAGGCCTTAGGGGAAGGCAGCTCACCTCTCTGAGCGACGGCGGGCCCGTGGGTAGACAGCCTAGGCTGCCCAGGAGGCAGGGCCAGGGTCCTTCCCAGCCTGTTTCAAGGCTAGGCTTCATACTTCGGCCCCCCTGGCCACGGCAGCTGAGGAGCAGGGGACGGGAGGCGGCTGGCAGGCCAGGGCAATGCCCTCCCTCGTCCTAGGCGTGAGTGGTGCGTACTGTTGGGTGGCTGTGTGGACGTCTGCATCATCTGAGGCACGGGCTGAGCAGCAGGAATGCTCCTCAGCTGGGCTCTGAGGCCAGGAGGACACTATACACACAGCCTGCCCCGGGGTCGCCTTTGCCGGGAGGGGTGCGGACATGCGTGTCTGGAGCTGTCTGAGGGGAGATGGCAGAGCTGAGGTGCCCCTGCCGTCCCCTATGTGTCCTCCTCTCGGACCTCTGACCTCACACATCTCTTATTGCTAGTATCCGACAGGAATGACAGAGGCCAACGAAGAGGACCTTATAATCACTACTGGAAGTGCTACTTTTGGGGGATTTTTTGAGACAAGGTCTCGCCAAGCACTCCTTTTTCAGCCTCCCAAGTGCTGGGGTGACAGTGTGCGCTACCCCACACAGCCAGAAGGGCACAGGCCACTGCCTCCACCGCCGCGAGCCGCCAGGGAGCGCTCCAGGCCCTGGTGCGCACCTGCCGGAGTGGGAGGGGAGCTGGCTGACCCCGGGCCGAATGAGTCGTGGCTGACTACGGTGGGAAGAGGACAGCACGACGGAGGCCAAGGAGTGGCGTAGTTGGATGACAGGCAGCCTCTGTGCCAGAGTGAGGACCCGAGCCACGGCTGCCCATGGTCTCTGCCCACTTCCTGCTAGCGCAGCCACCCTGATTCCAAAGGGGTCGCACTGCAGACCACCCAATGGTCCACAGCACCCCCATGGATGGCAGCAGGCTGCAGCCACATAGCCCTGCGCCTTGATCCCCAAGGCGCCCAGGGAAGGCCACGGGGCTCAGCCAGGCTGCTGGGCGCCTTGCCTGGGATTCTGCACACGGCACCAGGAGTCACTAACTGGGTGATGCAACCCTAGAGGGGGCCCCATTTGAAGGTCCAGCGCTAGGGGAGGAGGCCAACACAGAGGGAAGCAGAGCCCCAGTGACCCGGCTCGCGTCTGGACCCAGCTGCTCCTGAAGCCCTCCTCACACTGCTGTCGTCGGTACAGGAGCAGAGCCAGTTCTGCTCTTCCGCTTAGGCCAGTGTGAATGGGATCCTGTTACTTCTCTAAAAAACATGTCCTGACCAAGGTACTACGTGAACCTCCTTCACTCCCGGGGTGCAGGGGTGGATGTCTGACCCGAGGAAACCACAGCATGGCTGAGCCAAGTAAAATCATCTCTCTCTAAAACAGAAAGGCAGAGCTAGAGTAAATGGGTAGAGCTTCGTTACGCAGATCCAGGACTAGGGAAACCATGGCTTTGGGGATTCATTGTTGGGAAGAAAAAGAAAGAAGAAAGGTGGTCTGCTGAGATCAGCGGGCGTGAAAGAAGAACCATGTGGGCAAACTGAAAAAAGGAAAGTCAGGAATAGTGTCCCCAGTGTGTCCTTCCTGCCTGAACTGCGGCACTTCCCACCGGTCTTGGGCCTGTGAGGGAGTAACCGCAGCAAAGGCCCATCGTCCTGAGGGCATGGTGTCCCCTGGGCCCCTCTGCGCCGCCCCTGTCCTCCACCTCTGTGTGCAGAGCCCTAGGCTGGGCTGCTCACAGCCCCCGAGAGTCCACGGAGTTGTCCCCACTGCTCTCCAGCCCTTGTCCAAATGCCCCCGAGAAAGGCGCCGCAGGCCCAGCCTCTGTCCGGCTGCCTGCTCCAGCTGGCCCGGCTGGCGGCCCACCTCTGGGAAGGAGCCAGGCGTCACAGAAGCACACAGAGCGGCGAACAGTAGGGCAGCGCGGCAGTCCCGACATTCGCCAGTCGGACTCTGACCGCCTCCTTGGCTGCAGGAGGAAACGTTCAGCAGGGACCAGGCCTCCCTATGTCCTCCCGAGTGCCCTTTGCCTGTCTGGCATCCAGTGACCCAGGCCCAGCAGTGGTTAGGGTCCGGACACCACACTGCACAGGGCTTCCCCTGACCGCAGGAGGCGCAGCAGGATCTCAGTGGGAGCACAGGCTGACCACTGACCACCCAAACAGTGACAGACAGCTACCAGGAAGGGCGCCACCGGCGCTGCGTGAAAGAGAGGACACGCCGGAGGGACGGCAGGCACCGGGACTGGTGTGAGGGCCTGGTCACCCAGTGGGAGCCTGTGGCTCTCCTGCCCCCGTGCAGTGTCCTGCCGGGGGGGAAGGGGTCTCCTGCCCCGGGTGGAGCTCAGTCGAGCTGCCCCTGCCAGGCAAGCGCAAGGTCCTGAGCTCGAATCCGGTACCACAAAGGTGGGGTTGTCTCTACTTCCAGTCCTCCTCCCAAACCCACAGCTCCCGGCCACCAGGAGAAGCTGCCCGGCAGGCCCAGCGGGAGGGACGTCCTCAGAGATGTCTGCTGCTTAGCCATTAAGGAATTGAGCTCTGGTAGGAGAGTCCAGAGACCTGCGGGTGGTGAGGACTGAAGTCTCCCTCGCGCGTCCTGGGTGGAACCACGGAATGGAAAGGCACAGGGTGAGCTCGGCGGGGCGGCTGGGAGTCGGAGCCCAGTGCCCAAGCCCTGCCTGCTCGCCTGGAATAGGAGGCCGGATCCCAGCCGGCTCTGGGGAGGCCTTCCCGGCCCTGCGCTCTTTGCTTTTCTTCCAGGGCCGAAGTACTGCAGTGGCGTGAGGTCACCAGCAGAGGGCCTCAGGGCTTCTCTTTAGTGAAAAGCGCTCAGGAACTGTCTGCTACCGTTGCACTCATCTAGGGGAGAGAAAGGCTGCTGAAGGGAAGGCTGAAGCTGCAAATGCCCACCTCGATGTTTTGTTATGTTTCTTCTTTGTTTGTTTGTTTGTTTTGGGTGCAGGGCATCGAACTCGCATCCTTGTGCTTGTGAGGTAGGCATGTTTTGTTTTGTTTTGTTTGAGACAGGGTCCTGCTCTGCAGTTCAGACCAGACTTGGATTTGCTATGTAGCCCAGGCTGGCCTCCAGTTTGAGATTCTCCTGCCTCAGCCTCCTGAGCACTGAAATTATAGGTATGTGCCATTAACCCCAGCTCTACCTTCACCCTCCAAGACAATGTCTCCTCCGTCCTTCCAACTCCACATTCTCCCCTCATTCTGACATCTGTTTAGGGTCCACAGAAGAGAGCCTGAAAACTCCCATCCCACACAGACTTCTACTTCTTTATCCCGTGGAGCAGGGGTGGCACTGGGGGTCCCCAGCTCTTCCCCTCCTGCCTACAGGAGCCTCTTTCTCCAGCTGCCACTTGACCTCTGCCACACCTGACAACTGTCCCTCAGGGGCAGGGCCAACTCCCCTGGAAGCTTCACTTGTACAAACACACTGTGGCAGTCACCCGAGTTTCTTCACAGCAGGTGAGCGGAAAAGAGAGAGGGGCCTCTGCTGCGGACTTCTGCTAGGTCACAGATGCCAGGTCTCTGATACCCCGTGCTGCCCTGGCCGGGAAAGTCACCTGGGCTCATCTCTCCAATCCTCCTCCCGCTGCATGGGGCTCTAGAGGCTGGATTGGGGGTGTGGTCTAGGGCTGAGGAAGCCTCGAGGATGGAGTGCTTGCCCAGCCCGTGTGAGGCCTGGGACACACACGCGCACACACACACACACACACACCACTGCGCATGCTGGCTCAACACCCCTGTAAGCTCACAGCTACTGGGGTGACAGCCAGACCACAGGGCAGTGGACAGTGGCTGGACTCTGGTTCTCAGTCACAACACCGCCCCTGGACCCTTGCGTCCCAGCTCCCTGGGTGGCCACCCCCATCCAGGCAGTGCCCAGCTCCGCTGGTGTCTCTGTCAGTGCAGCTCCCCGGATCCTGAGCTGTGCTGCCAGTCCCGGAGGGCGCCCTCCTGGGCTCTGTCCCCACTGGGCCTCTGCAGCACCAGGCTCACTCTCAGTTTCAGATGGGACAGAAGCAGGGATGCAGCTTTTCCCTGTGTGTGGAGCTGCACAGATGTCCTACCTGGAGCCCACAGTGCAGCAGGCAAAGGCCGCACAGCAGCAGGTGGCCATGGCACCTGGACCTTCTGTGGCCCATGTCCTGGCCACACACTGCCTGCCCTCCGTCTCTCCCAGCCCTTTCCACACCTCAGCACTCTGGTGTCTTAAATGAACCTTTATCGCTTTCTCTGTTCCCTCTCGGGGGCATAGGTGGAAAAGCTATGGCTCTAAATGACTGCCATTCTAGGCCTCAGCCTCTGGCCTGGAGGAAAACCAAAGACAGCGCGGCTCACGGAAGACTTCCCCAGAGCCTCCCCGCCTGCTGTGACCCAGCCTCCATATTCCAGCCCAGCGCATCTCGCTGGCACTTGGGGACAAAGGAGTCCCTACCACCTGAAGACCAGGATAAAAATTCACAGAGATCAGCCGGTGTTTTTAGATTCTTTGGTGCTGAGGATGGCGCTCAGGGCTGTATGCATGCTGGGCAAGCTCTCCACCGCTGAGCTACACTCCTAACCGTTTTCATATTATTTTGAGACAAGGTCTCATTAAGTTGCCCAGGCTACCCTCAAACTCGCAATCCTGTCTCAGTCTTCCAAGTCGCTGGGGCTAGAGATGCCTGATCAGGCTATGTATTTTTAATAACTTCCCTAGAACTTAATGTGCAGCCACTTCCTTAGTATCTATGTCTAAAACTGACCCTGCTGGGCAGGGTGGCACAACCCTGAAGTCCCAGCATTCAGGAGGCTGAGGCAGGAGGATCACTATGAGTTTGAGGCCCGCCTGAGCTACAGACATAATGAGACCAGAAAAAAGGAAGGAAGGAAGGAAAAAAGAAAAGAAAAGATCAGTTAAATTTCTTCGGCCAGATGGGCTGAGAAGGAAAGGTGGGAGCACATGGAGGTCCCAGAGCTGCAGTGAGATGCCTGTCCATGGCTACAGGCAGGGAACTCTCCGAAGGAGGGCTGGCCTGTCTGGCCTTTCCTCTGGGGACCATCAGCCCGTCCCCAGAGCTCCTCCTCTGGCCTGGGGCACTGATGTTCTTGCACGCGCCCAGCCAGCGTTGGTACTGAAGTGCTATCTGGTACAGCACCTTTAGGGGCCCTGGCTCATCTGGCCCTCCTGTGCACTTCTGAGGCAGGGACTATTGTCCCCGACTCACAGATTAAGAAACCGAGATTTATAGAAACAAAGTGACTTGACAGTCTCATAGCCAGACAGTGGCACATTCCTCACGTGAGAGCCACTCTGCGGGGCCGGGGAAGCAGAAAGGTGTTTGGCTTTTGTCAGGGGCTAGGGAGAGGGGTGGAGGTGAAACAGGAGCAGCTTCCTCATCAGGGGAGTCCGCCTCCTGCCCACTCCGGAGGTTCTGCGTCAGTGGCTCTGGGGTCATCTGAAACCCACTTTCCCCAGCTCAGACCAGCCTGCGCCAGGCCTGTCACCTACTTCTCCTGAGCCAGAGGAGGGCAGCACCACCAGGGTTCCAAGAAGTCCACACGGGGCAGAGGAGAAGCACCACTGAAGACCCCAAGAGGGGACAGCCAGGAAACAGCAGAAGGAGGGCTGAGTCAGAGTTCCCTTCATGGGGAGCAGGGGTCCCTGCTGCTTCCTACTCCTCCAGTTCTCTATCGGGGTCACCCTGAGTCTCAGGGCTTCTCGGCTTCTGCAGAGCAGTGCTCCAACCACCCATCACTGCATGAACCCTTCTCCGAGTAGCCTGGTCTGAGACCTGGGGGCTGAGTGTGGTTTGCTGCTCTCCACCTGGACTTGTCAGTGTAGCACTGGCTGGTGGGGCCAGACCAGCTTGATGACAGTGAGGAGAAATTCCTTTGGTTGAGATCCAACGGGTCCCCTGAAAGCTCACGGGTTCGGCGGTGGAGCTTTTGGCAGGTGAATGGATCTTGGGGTGCTGCAGTCATCAATACTTTCATCCACTGAGGAGTTGGTGGTGGAGTGTGCTGCTAGAAAGTAGTACCTAGGGGCTGGGGATTTAGCTCAGTGGTTCTGCCGCCTGTCTTGCAAGCGCAAGGACCCGAGTTCGATCCCTGGTACCAGAAAGAAAGAAAGAAGTAACTGGTTGGAGGTGGGTCAATGGGGATGTGACCTGGAAGTGTAGACTCTTGTCCCTAGCTCCTGCCTTCTCTCTTTGCCTCCTAGTTCCCGTGGGATGAGTGGCTGTCCTCCACCACTTCAGCCACGCAATTTCTCCCTTGGAGCCAGCCAGTCATGGATGAATCCTCTAAAACAGTGAGCAAAACTAAACCTCTCTTCCTTTAACTTTGGAGTGTTGGATATTTTGTCCTAGCAGCTGGAAAGCTAATACAGAAAAATGGTACCAAGAATGTTGTCGTTGCTATATTGTATATGACTATGTGGTTCAAAAGGCTTTGAAACTGGTTTTTAGGAAGAGTTTAGAAAATTTTGGACAGGTGGGGTAGAGAAGCACTAGCATGCTGTGAGCAAAACTTGATGGATGATTCTGATTGGAGCTCAGAAACTGCAATGCTGACAGGAATGTGTACAGTGAAGGCTGGACTCGGGGAATTTCAGATGAGAATGATGATTCTATTGGAAACTAGGCTAGAGATCATGCATGTTACATTCTGGCAAGGAACTTGTCTGTCTTTTGCCTTTGTCCTAAGACTGTGTGAGGCTGAATTTGAAGGTGGTGGACTAATTACTCAAATAGAGACTATCTCCAGACAAACCAATGTTCAGGCTGTGGCACGGGTACTGCAGGCTGCTTTTTTTGCCAGATTTACCATGAGAATCAGGAGCAAAAAGCAGATGTAAAACATTTACAGTTTCAACATGGAGAACATGGTTGCTAAAAAGATGAATATTAAAAGAAACCAAGTACTTTGCATCAGAACAACAAGGTAGACGGCTTCAAGGCATGTTAGGCATTGGTCAGACTTGCAGGCTCAAAGATGTTTTTGTTTTTGTTTTGTTGTTGTTGTTATTGTACCAGGAATTGAGGTCAGGACCTCATGCTTGCCAAGCAGATGCTGTGCCACTGAGCTAAATTCCCAGCCCCCTAAAAGGTATTTTTATTTTTTAAATTTTTAGGTACAGGGATCAAACTTGAACTCTGAGCTTTCTGGGCAGGCAGCAGAACCCCTGAGCTAAATCCCTTGCCCTCAAAGGTGTTTTTAAAAGGATAAATGTCTTTGAAAAGAAAGCCCCAGGGTACCTGCTCTTTCTCGAGTACCTAGAGGTGTCTCCCTGCACACAGCTACCCCAGTACTCAGAGGCCATGCAGACGTGGTCCAAGGGAACCAGGCTACTGCTTGAACTAGCAGCAAACTGGTGTCAGCCATGTGATGCTGGTTTTCATGCATGCGAAATGCAAGAGTTAGTGAGTCATGGAAGCTTCCACACAGATTTCGTAAAAAAGCCTGGCAGGTCAGGCAAAAGCACATCACAGGGACATAGAGCCACCAGGAGCTCCTGAGAAGGTGATGCAGGAAGCTGCAAGAATCAAGCTGAAGGTGCAGCGGAGATCACAGGGGGTTAGAGATGCTAGGAACGTGGAAGGTCTGCTGAGGAAACCACAGGCGCGGTGGGGGCGGGAGAGGCTCTGCATGGGGCAGGGCTTTCCGAGGCCAAGGCAGTCCGTAGCTCACCAGCACCTTCCCTGAGTGCTGGACACACACACAGCTACAGGAGTCAGTGGGCACCCTGCCAGTTTCAGTCTTGCTCTGGTCCATTCTGTCTATTCTCCTATTTTTCCCTTTTGGAATGGAAATGTTTGCTCTGTGCCATTGTACTGTGGCAGGTTGGAAATGTTTAACTGTTTTTGCAAGGGCTCACAGCTAGGAATTTGCTTTGAGTTTCAGGGGAAACTTTGAACTTGGACTTTTTGGCAGCGCTGAAGCTGTCAAGACCTGTCTGGTCGACATCCCGTATGGGACAGACTTGAGTCGTCCAGGGGCCCGGGGGGTGGTGGTGTTGTGACTCAGACCTCAAATGTCCCCCGGAAGTCTTGTGTGCCAAGGTGTGCCGAGGTGGGCGTCGGACAGGGGTGGAGTGGTAGGGCGCTGGGCGTTCACGGGGGTGCCCCGTTCCTCGCCCCTCTCTCTGCCTCCAGGCTGCGGGGTGACTAGCTGTGGCCTGCCGTACCCTTCGCTTCTGGCAGGACTGAATCCCCTAAGGCTGTGAGGAAAAAATTACGTTCCCGACAACGGGAAAGTTGACACATACAGACCTACGTATGCATACAACGCACTGTACACACATAATTACATAGTATATAACACATCCATGCATACATAGTTGTGTCCACACTTAGATTTGTTAACTGACAAATGAAAACTGCGTGTCTTCGTCCGTGGCGTTTGGAATGTGCACACACTGGCATGGGAAGAAATCTCTTAACTTCCCGGCGGGCGGCGGCCCAGCGGCAGGCGGGAGAGGCAAGGCTGGTGCAGAACAAGCGGCGGGGAGAACTGGGCAGCGTGGGTCGGCCGCGCCT